TCAGAGTGACTCCTCAAATCAGCAAATGTTTCAAAACATGCCTATGGTTTAGCCAGCCTAATGTACAAGATCTTGAAGTTGTTCTGAATGTTAACTACTTGTTAAATTTCTATTGAGAAAATCCAGAGTGCACAGATTGATGATTCCTGGGTGCTATCAGTATGACAAAATTTTCCATTTTTCATTAAAAAATAAAGCAAACCAAAAAGAAGAGGGAACAGAACACCCTGGATGTGGCATATCTAAACTCCTTTGCCATTAGGACAATAACATTTCACAGGTTGGAGGGAGAGAAGTAACAGAACAGAAGTTAATGCACAGCCCTCATTTTTTTTTTTTTTCATTAAGTGAGACAATATGCAGAAAACAGTGATCCCAGTGTAGTTGTACTGATATTTAAAAGTACATTTATTCATTGTTTAATGTATCTAACAAACACAAAGAGCGGCAGTTTCGTGCTTTGCACATTGATATCCTCAAGAAGTATTAAGATGTAGGAGTATAAAAGCAAATTTAGACTGTGAGATGAAGATTGATTGCAGGCGTCCTGCAGATTAAGAACATTTTTCAATATATCCCTGTCCTTCAGGAGATCTATCCATCAAGAGGCTGGTAAAGCATCTGGGAATAGCACGTCCCCTGTTGGATGTGCAAGGTTTTTGAATGATGAAGGGATGCAGCTATCCCATAAATGTCTATGAACAGGGAGGTAGAGAGTTATATTACCTGTGTGAGAGAATGAGTAACACATAGGAAGGGCCCAGCAGTCTAGGCCAATTTCAGGAGTGTGGTAGAGTACAAAGTATAGCTCCTCTGTATGAAGGTCTAATGGGTAGAATCTGTTTGCTGCAATAATGGCACTTCAAACTCTGTGTTTGGGGGTGTGGGATGGTGGGATCAAAGCTGTCTCTAATGGTGTCATCAGATTCAAATCCTCTAAGATAGTTTTGTAGGAGGAAGAAAAATAAGATTTAGTTTTTAAACTGTCTTCTCATGTAATCCTTTTTTTTTGTTTGTTTTGGTTTCTGTTGGTTGGTTAGTAATTTAGCTTGAAAGAATCCTGAGTATAAGCATTTCCTACTCCTACAGGAATTACTATAAACCGAAGCACTGTTTGAAAAGAACATGCCATACTGAGTTTGCAGCCCTTTGAGATAGGGACTATGTACTCTTCTCATCCATCTCAAGTAGAACTACCATTTATTTATTTTTTATTGTTTGCAGTGGTTATAAAATTTAGGTGATTTGCCTTACCGTGCAATACCACAAAACAGTTCTGTTCACAACAGTCTATATTTACACACCTTATGTTTACTCAGCACTATAAAGCTACAATGTGAAAATAAGCAGCTGCAGCATTTGTTACACTCTCCAGGTGATGAAGGACAATCAGCTTTTGGCCTTGAGCCATAATGCAAGTGGTTACCTTCAGAAAGAGTCACCCCAAATGCACAGGTTGTTATCATGCTGTGAGGGCTGAGGATCCAGTGACACGGATGTGGTGCATCATTAAGACCATAGGAGATGACAATGAAAAAATCAGAGTGCACAGAAATTTCAGATAAAGTGTTCAAAAGCATAAAAAACTGGATGTATTTTTTATAGTTAGTCTGTCTCACTCTTTTCTGTTTCCTGATACAAGAGAATTATTCAGGCAAATAAATAAGCTCAAAAAAAAGTATATAATTAAGCAGTAGAGTTTAAAGAATGATAGGAAACGTCTCCTTCCTGCTTTTTTAACTGGCAATGTCAATACATGATTAATAATGAAATCTGATTTAATATTATTTAAACAGTTATGCTTAGTTTTGTTGCCTTCTACAGCTGTTCACTACCACAATATAATATGCTGAGAAGTTTTTAAAGCATGTATATATAATCGTTCACCCATAATCTTCCAACAAACAAAGCAGCTTTTCTATTGAACTTTTTTGCAATGAAGTAGCCATTGATTGGAAAGTTAAAAACATAGCTAATTCAAACGTTTTTAAATTGGCAGCCACAAAACGTGTCAAATCCATTTAATAAACTGTTGTTGCCCTCTAGTGTTCAAACACAGCTTGTAAAGCCGGTCCTGAAAGATGCAGTGGTCACCTGACAACCCTCTGTTTGCTCCTAATCCAAGAAGACAAATGGATAGAGGGGAAAAAAAAAATAAAAATAAAGAGAGACAGAGAAAAAAAAAAAGGGTTTCAGTACACCTGCCTAGAACCTATTTTTCTTTGCTCAAGCATGTGAAAGAATTTTTAATGCAAGAACATCTAAAGTTGTTTGTTTCACTTAAAAATTGTGGAAGGCCACTCTGCTCAGCAACCTCCCCAAATTAGTCCTGGTACCTGTTCACCCCCTCTGCTTTACTGCTGCCATTCACCGTGCTTGACAGGAGTGTTCCTAGTGGTACTAGCCAAACACATGCCCAGTGCTCTGAAGGACTCTCAGACATGTCTGCCTGCCTTCTCTTGAATGTAACTCTACTGTATGATACTGTACCAATTAACAGCAACCATCTCTCCCTCCAACGAATTAGTTATTACAGCAGAAATGCACAGTGAGGATTCAGGGGTTGTTCTCAGCACCTCTCCTGCAATGGGTTGCCATGATGGCATTAGTGGTAGTTCTTTTTGAGAGGAAATTACAGTCAACCTGAGATCTGTGCCTGCACTTTTACAGCCCACAACTGAGCCTAGTACTTATCATTTTATTAACTCATTTCCCAGAAATGCTGCTCCCCTTTGTCATGTTCCTTGACCAAAAACCTTTGAAAATAGCTATTAAATAAAATGCAGACAAAAAACCCTGAGGTTAAACAAAGTGCAGTCAACAGACAAGCTGATGAACTTGGGATAGTTTTCTTTTGTAATTTTGATCACTTTTAAGAAGCTATCCAGAATGTTTTTCATTTAAGCATTGTCAGACTAAAGACCAGCTGGTTTTGTGTCTATAAAGCAATTTCCAGCCCCCATAAAGTAGAATTCAACTTCTTGACATAAGGAACATTGACTTTTCTTTGATCTTTGAATAATGGAATTTTCAGAGAATTTTCTGCATATAGTTACTGTTAGAGCTCTCAGAAAACTTGCCTTGAGGGCATTTTTTGATCACGCCTGCTCGCCACCACACTAAGCCTGACAGATGTAAGAACCTCTTGGACGTAAGTCATGTTTCATACTTTGTAATAGAATTATTTCCTTGTATTCATGAAGCACCCTTAGAATCATAGAATCATTAAGGTTGGAAGAGACCTTAAAGATCATCAAGTTCCAACCTCCCTGCCATGAGCCACTAGATAAGGTTGGACAAAACCTCGTCCAACCTGGCCTTAAAAACCTCCAGGGATGGGGCATCAACAACCTCCCTGGGCAGCCCATTCCAGTTCCTCACCACCCTTATAGTGAAGAACTTCTTCCTAGTATCTAACCTAAATCTCCCCTCTCTCAGTTTAAAACCATTACTGCTTGTCCTATCACTGCCCTCTCTGTTGAAAAGCCCCTCCCCAGCTTTCCTGTAGGACCCTTTCAAGTGCTGGAAGGCAGCTATAAGGTCTCCTTGGTGCCTTCTCTTCTCCAGGCTGAACAGCCCCAACTCTCTCAGCCTGCCCTTCCCTCTCTGTCTTGATGTTTGTTGTTGATTATTCTGCCTGCTACAAGAATACTTTAAAATCTAGTCTTTCGTTCTATGATCAGGTTTAGACTGGGTGTATGTGAAGGGCAATGTGAATATGAACTGGAAGTTGTGTAGATGCTCACATGCACTCTCACTTGCCTCGTTGCAGAGGTGGGGAAACACATGGAGCAGCTATGCTTAGTACCAGTCATGTGAAGACAACCCTAGAAGTGAAGAAAATGTTCTCTGAGAGCCAGTAAGAGCTCTGTGCAGTCAGGAGGGGCAGCAAATCTGGCACTATTTCAAGCAGCTCTTTCAAGGGCCAGCAGCCTGGTGAGGGAAGTAGGACAATGCCCCAAGTATGAAGATAAATGCAACCTTGTTCATCTGCTCCTGCTGACTGCAGGAAGCTCCCCTGAGGTTGGCACCTTCCTACAACATAGCCACCATTTTCTGTTAAAACTTTTTAACCTCCTTTTAGATGTTCAGAAAATGGAGAACACACCTTTCCATGTGTTTTCTGCCAGTAATACAGCTGTTGTCTTTGCTAAGCCCCCTCACAAGTTTCTGCCTGCTCTGCAATCAGGTAGGCATTTAGGTGTATACTAGAACAGATCCTCTCTCATGCATGTGGCAAGTCACTTGATCATGCCCTTTGTCACAAAAGTGCTTGATTGCAACTTGCTTTACTTTGATATCATAAAAACTCTTTCTCTGTGATACATGTTGCAAAAAACACAACATACTACAGAGTGGCTAGCTCTTTGGAAAAGGCAGCTTCAGATCTGCAGCATGTGGTTTTAAGGATAGTTTGTGATGTGTGCAGAAAAAACATTAAAGATACATATTTCTCTGTATAAACTCTATGTAGCTAAAGAAAATTAAGCCAACTATATTATGCATACCACAATTTTTGCTGTTTGTACCTAAAAACATTTGGATGCAAAGCTATACTACTAAGTACTCCTTTAAGGCTACAGAGTAAATAGGATTGCTAGACAGTTGTGCAGCACTAGGGCATTTAGGTGCAAAAAGCATTGAAAACACTCACATACTGCACAGGTACTGAATTTATTAGGTGTGCTTCTATTCCACTAATCTTGTCACCGTACAGTTTAAGCTTTTCAAATGCTTCTTCTCCTTAAATACAAGACCGTCTTAGCTTAACTTGGATTTTAGTGTTTATTTTCCAGATTTAGTAATAAATCCAAAATGTTAGACATTAGAGTTCAGCATAGAAAAAGCAGTTATTTTCCCCGATGCCATCTGCTGCTTTCCCATTAGTGGCCAAAAAAGGGAATTAATCCTCACCTGAGCTTTCAATATCTACTGTTCCATTTCAGAGTTGTCCTCTCAAGGATGAGAGATGCTCCTCACAATCTTATTCTCTCTCTCCATCATACATCAGCATACATTCCATTAATCAAGTAATCCAGCCTCGTGTAAGGTCTCTTTCGAAGAGATTCATGTATTTTCTTCCCTGTTAGTACAATAACTAGTAATAAGAATATCACCTCAAAAAGCAAAGCTGCTATCAGGCTGCTTTTTTCTCCCAGCTGATTGACACCTTTCTCTCTCAGAATACCCTCTGGCAGGTAGCTTTCTGAATCAGATGGGTCATAACCCTCAGGGTGGCTTTGGGAAGCGGTGGGAGAATTGCTAGTAGACAAAGTGGAACCTGAAGAAGAGAGGAAGGTAACCTGGCTGGTATCATTGGGAGAGACAACTGTTGGCTCTTGAGGAATGGTTGGAGTTCTTAGCCCTGATGGGGTGGTAGCAGATGTGAAATTTGTGGTCACCCACTTGGTTGTTGTAGTAGAACCAGAAGTTGTGGGAGTGGAAAGGGGAACACGAGTAACAGCAAAGGTGGTGTCAGGGACATCAGTTTTTGCTGTAGTGCTTGCAGTTGGCAGAAAGGCAGCTGTGGTGATGGTGAGAGCAGTAGGTGTAGTACCACCAGTAGGCAGTGAGGTTGTATGAGACTCCTGTTGGGAGGTACTTGCAGAGAGAGGAGCAAGAGTAGTACTGCTGAGTTCAGGAACAGTAGACTGAGTGGTTGGGAATGAAGTAGAGGGATTTCCAATTTGACCAGCAGCAGGCTTATTTGATGGCAAGTTGAGGTCTGGGATGGGGTCTAAGCTCTCAGGATGTTTTGTCCTTTGAGAATCAGGAAAAGTTGTACGAAATTCACTGTTATCTAAATGCTTGGTCACAGAGTTTGGGAGTTCAGATGCCTGACGAAAGACAAGTTGGTGCAACGCAGTGGTAGGACTGTGAGGGCTAGTCTGACTGGGAGAAATAAAAGCTCCAGCATCTGAAGACAAAGAATACCCATTTGAAGAAAAGACCTCATTTTTGAAGGATGTATCTTGCGTGGCAGGGGTTTCTGGAAGCAGAAAAGAAATATCAGTATTTAATAATTTAAAATATTTATTACTACCTTAACAATTTGCATTTTCTAGTAACAGAAAATTACTCAAGAAAGCAGTAACTAATGAAACTGAGGTATCAAGATCTTCCTTTCTTTAAAATATGGTGAGTGACTTTTGAATTCTGTGTCATAAGACCTGTCATTTTAAGCTTGGGCACACCAGCCCCTGACTGCTGTTTCTTACAGAATTCACCTGTGCAGACAGAGCATCCCAATCCAATGATTTTATGCTCATGTTGCATGCATTCAAGCATTTTATTTAGCAGCACAGTGCAGAGTAGGCCCACTGTCTTTAAACCATTCTCAGCCTTTGTCACTTAGGAAGTAGATATCATCAACCTCACTTTGATCTGTCAGATGTACACTTTTCTACCTAACCAAGATGAACATATATTCCCTTTTCTTGTAATATCCAAGCACCCTGTGACTGATACAATTCCATTCACATATAAAAATTGTCTTACGATACAGGGTGGCAAAAATATGCCCATTTTATAACTAATTTTATATATATACTGACTGAAGGAAATCTGATCTCCTATTGCCATGCTAGAAGACAGACACTGCTCCAAGATTTTCTAAGGTATTTTCAGAGAAGGCCTTCACAAGAAGCAGCCTGCACTTGATAATTTCTCCAGAAATTGATATGTATTGCTTGCAAACCAGGTGGGTGCGTGTTATTTAATAGGATTTGGAAGCAGGGCACCACTGTTATGTGACAGAAATTCCATGCAATCAATAATCCAAATAGCTGCTCGGTTTTACATAGGTATTATGGAAAGATTTTGGGTGAGCACAAGCTCTTGGGAGCTTGTGAGAAACTCACAGTCAGAGAATTGTGGTCAATGGGGCAGGTCTGTGACTCGTGGAGTCCCTCAGGAGCCGGTACTGGGACCAGTGCTGTTCAATATTTTCATCAACAACCTGGATGAGGGAACAGAGTGTGCCCTCAGCAAGTTTGCTGATGACACTAAACTGGGAGGAGTGGCTGACACACCAGAGGGCTGTGCTGCCATTCAGTGAGGCCTGGGCAGGCTGGGGAGTTGGGCAGGGAGAAACTTGATGAAATTCAACAAGGGCAAGTGCAGAGTCTTGCATCTGGGGGAGAACAACCCCATGGACCAGTACAGGTTGGAGGCTGACCTGCTGGAGAGCAGGGTAGGAGAAAGGGACCTGGGGGTCCTGGTGGACAGGAGGATGCCCATGAGCCAGCAATGTGCCCTTGTGGCCAAGAAGGCCAATGGCATCCTGGGGTGCATTAGAAAGGGTGTGGTTAGTAGGTCAAGAGAGGTTCTCCTCCCCCTCTATTCTGCCTTGGTGAGGCTGCATCTAGAATATTGTGTCCAGTTCTGGGCCCCTCAGTTCAGGAAGGACGGGGAACTGCTTGAAAGAGTCCAGTGCAGAGCCACAAAGATGATGGAGTGGAACATCTCCCTGATGGGGAAAGGCTGAGGGAGCTGGGTCTCTTTAGCTTGGAGAAGAGGAGACTGAGAGGTGACCTCATCAGTGTTTATAAATATGTTAACGGTGAGTGGCAGGGCCGGAACAAGGCTTTTGGAGTCTCCTTCTCTGGAGACATTCAAACCCACCTGGACACGTTCCTGTGTGATGTGCTCTGGGTGACCCTGCCCTGGCAGGGGGGTTGGACTGGATGATATTTCCAGGTCCCTTCCAACCCCTAAGATTCTGTGAAGACTGGCTGTTATAATTCAGATTTTATATATGTACACATACATACATATAAGACATGCATGTGTATGTATATATACAGGTGGTAGAGGCACTGTCCCTGGAGGTGTTAAAAAAACAGGCAGATGTGCTGTTTTGAGAGATGGTTTAGGGGTTGTAGGGTGGACAGATGGACTTAATCATCTTGAAGGTCTTCTCTAATCTTGATGATGATTCTATGATTCTATGTGAATATACTATAATATCCAATATATAATTATATATTACTATTATATAATGTTATATATTCATATACTATATTATACTATTATATACCCCCAAAACAACAAACAAACAAACTGGCAATGCTTTACCAAGAGTACAGCAAATACTTCACTCAGATCATAGACACCAATTTTTATCCTAACCTCCCAGTGAGGTACTATCTTGTAAGCAAAGTAAGATCCTAGAGGTAAGGGACTCCAACCACAATGTCTAACTTAGAGAAAAGCCAAGCTTTTTAGAAAGTGGCTTTAAATAATGAAATGTTCAGTTATTAGAGAATCAGGAACTGTATGGTCAAAAATGCCCAAACTTTCGGCTACTTCTGCAGCTCTGGACACATTTGTACACCAGTGAGGAAATGGCCTGTCACCACCATGGAGTCAGTCCCCAGCTCATTTTTGTCTCTGCTCCTAATGCACTCCCATGGACTCCTCCCTCCTGCGTGTTTAAACAAACAGTGGATGCAGTGTGACAGCCAGGCAGTGCTTGCAGCATGCTATGTCATCTTCAGTTCTCTTGCCTGGGAAACAGCAAGAAAAGCAATGAGCTTGTTGTGCCATGTTCAAGGGGTGGGTGCAGGGAGCACAGACAGGCTATGTGACAAGCCCCATATAGGAGTGAAGTATCACTGCAGTGCTCAGAATTATTAATTGCCTGCACTAACTAACTGTACTTCACATATTCAGCATCCAACATTGACTAGACAATACTTCTTGTCTCCACTTCAGCCCACAAGCTCCCAAATGCAATTGCCCAAAAACTGGCATGTGCAATGTATGACTGGGATACTAGGACAGATACGCTTGTTGGTAAGAAAGAGCAAGGGCACTACACAAGTCAACCTCCAAAAAAAGATTTAAAAAATCCAAGGTGGTCCTGCTGATATCTCAAATCTAATAAACTGCATTAGAAAGCAAACTTCAGGGTTGTCACTCTTAAAAACAAACTAACGACCTCGTGAGCATACTTTGCTAGAACCTGCCAATATCTTAGTGTGCTGGAAAAAGCAAACACCAAAGCAGTACATGAAGTACAGAAATCAGAACGTGTTTTTTTCAGGAACTGCATTTTGCAACAGGGACCAGGAAATGTTTTACTTTCCGAGCCATACCTTGTTTCCATTAGTTACCAAGCCACAAGAATAGTTAAGAAAGAAAAACGAAATCTCATTACTAACACAGCATCGGTATTTTAAGTTGGTTTAGTACCAAAAGAGTATCTTTCCCCCTTTTAGTTTGGTTTTCAATGTAATCAGTACACATGCAGATTCTCATGTGTAAAAACAGAGCTTGAAATGTTTGTCAGTACCAGGGCTTCCCAGAAGCTCCCTTTGAAAACTTATTAGGAACATAAGGTAAATAAACTAGCATCATCTTTCCACAATTCAATGTTCAAGAAGCTGAAACATGTGAAATGAAAAATAGATTGTATATGCAATCAGGTTGTTGACTGAGCATTACACTACAAACAGGGAGAAAGCACAAGCACAATTACATTTCTTCTTTCTTTGTTTGAAACCTGAGTTCTTCTAAGGGAGAAAGAGCTGGATAAAATAATAGTTCTAATGATTTTTACAGGCATGCAATTAATTTGTTGCACATTGCTTTTGCCCAATTCCTGTGTGATTGTGCTTGCACAAATATATTTGGTTACACCACGTGACTAATCTTTCTACATATCCTGCTGTCACTCCTTGCATAGCTCCTCTAGGAAGAGTTCTCTTTTTCAGCACAAGTTCAGTCTGCAGAAATCCAAAATTTCTAGTCTGTCAAGCAGACAAACTGAAGCCACCTGATGAACTCTTGGCAGTAGGGCAGCCTAATTATCAGTTTCTTATCCAAGTTGTTCAAACAGGTCTGGTGCAAGTTAACATCATTGAACAAGCAAGACTTGCTAATAAAAATCACACAGCACATGACAGATAACGAGACATTTCTGAGTGTGCAGCCCACATGCCGTAAGGCTTCAAACTTAGACTGTCTGCATCTGCACTTCAGGTTCTCTAACGAAAAGTAGAAAACAATGATTTTTACTGTGAGAATCACCGAGCACTGGAACAGGCTGCCCAGAGAGGCTGTGGAGTCTCCTTCACTGGAGACATTCAAACCCTCCTGGATGCGTTGTTGTGTGATGTGCTCTGGGTGACCCTGCTCTGGCAGGGGGGTTGGACTAGATGTTCTTTCAAGGTCCCTTCCAACCCCTAGGATTCTGTGATTACTATTACCAATTACTCAGTAACATCACAGTGGTGCTCCAAGGCTCACCCAACGTTTGCTCAGTGTTTCTACTTGTGTGGATATGGTGCCCATCAGTGTAGCACGGCTCCTTCGAATATGCAGGTGGCGACAGGGCCATCACATTTCTATTGCTTTAAGCAATGCTCTTCAGCAGTATGTACAGGAAATTTTCCTTCTTGAATGTATCAAGATGAAAATGGCTTCTTTTTGTTTTAAGCAAGGGAAAATGGCGAGGAGTTCTGAACCTGATGTAAAGAAGTTTCATAAGGGTCGTGATGTAATTCCTGCTGGGAAGCTGGGCCCACACAAAAGCTCATCACACACCTGCCTGTCTATTTCTCACAAAGCAAAAAAGCAGCATTTTAAAATTACTGTGCTTGGCTTTACAAATTTTACTAAAAATGTAACCCACAAATATCTTCTGGTCACTACTGAAAAGTCACAGGTCATCTAGTGTGGCTTTTACTATTATTTAGCAGGCTTTTACTATTTATTTACTATTGGCAGCTTTTACCATTATTTACCTCTAGTTATCTTGTAGCTCACATATCCTATTGCAGATTTCATGGGACAAGCCTCTGTGCTAGGGCAGTAAAACAGGTAGCAGTTGGGATGCGCACTTGTCCTTTGAGCACTAAAAATCACCAAGTTACACTTCTTGTCTCCTGCAAAACATGATACATACGTAATTCAGCAATAAGAACTTTTATACCATCTTGATAACAAGCTCTGGTCCATTAATCAATATTTCCTTGTGCGAATAAGAGGAAAACTACTAACATATTCTTACAGGAAAAACAACCCCGGGCTGCAAAAGAATGGCCCAGGGCCAACATATGAAAGGTCACACATCCTTCTTCCTGCACATAGGAGCTTGGGAAAGTAATGAATCTAATCTCCCATCCTCCCCTCACCTGCACCAGGCTGGAACCACACAATGTAATAATTTCTTGCTTACAACTCCTGGTAAAAATTGAAAATCTCCTTGTTATACTCATGGGGATTTATTCACTTTTCCCCTTTGCAACGCAGGGACCACGTGGGTTGTTGCTGCTCGGAGGGGTCACCTTTAACACTGTAGTTTCTACTTGCTGCTCTACCTCCTGCTGCTTCAAGAGCTTGATGCAAACCGGCCGTTTCAGAGAAGGGTTAGCACTCTCATTTTCGGCTAAACTTAAACAAAGCACAGAATGCGAGTTAATTTATAGCGCTTTTATGAAATACAGCTTATGCACCTTGGAGTTTGAGGGTCTGAGATGTTGCAAAGTTTAAAACGGCCGCCGTTTCTTTGCGGCAACTACTTCCCTGAGCTTTCGGGGGTCTTGTGTTCAGGTCGAACCTCACCCCTGGCAAAACAGGGCAGCACCCGCAAGCTGTTACCAGTCACGGCGTGAATAAAACGATAAATGAACGTTTCCTCGCTGAAAAACGGAGAACAGCCCTGCCCCTTTCTCGCGCGAGCACCAGACTTCAGAAGTTGCTCCCCAAGAGCCCTGGGGCAGGAAAAAGGCCGAGGGAAGAGGAAGGGGTTACCTGAGAGCTTCTCCTCCGAGCAGCAGGCGCGCACACAAGCCCCCGGGCTGGGGGTGTACAGCGGCTCCCCGCCC